TTTCTGTAACTATCACAATCCTATATGCAGAAAGAGTTGTATTCTATTGTCTGAAGAAAATGCTGTAAAGAGAATATTTAGAAGATTTCAATGTTATTTTTTTATACATGTCTGGAGGCTTGAAGTTAACCATCTATGTTTTATTATCCATGGTACCCCTTCTTCGCCATCTATATCTTTAGTATTCCTTTGTCTCGAAAGAGATCTCCCCATATTACACTTCCAGGCAATATTTAAAAGACCTCATTAAACTTACTGCATATTCAAATTTGAAGGTTCATAAAAATATGCAAATTTTAAAAGGAATTTCTTAATGTTTTTATTCTAAAATCATTTGAAGAGAATTTTGTTTCCTTTTAATACTGATTCCTGGGACCAACTCAAACCAATTAAGTTTGAATTTCTGGGAATGGAGCCCAGAAAACAGTATTTTTAATAGTTTTCCAGATAATTGTAGTGCATAGGCAGGGCTGAAAAATTTGAAATGAAATTTGGTGTCTGAAAAATATTAGGAAATTACCACCTCTAGAAAACATTAATTTAAAAAAAATCTTTTTTTACGTATACTTGCATTTTTGCCTTAATTCCATATTGCATAGTACATTGATTTAATTTTGAGTCATTTAAAAAAGAAATGAGACACACGAGGTGAACTTCCCAGTATTCTTTTTTTTAATTTTTAAAACAATTTTAAAAGATTTTATTTAAGAAAGAGAGCACACAGAGGGATAGAGAGAGGGAGAAGCCGACTCCCCACTGACCAGACAACCAGACAACCAGTCCTCCATCCAAGAACACAGATCAGGACCTGAGCAGAAGGCAGATGCTTAACTTACTGGGCCACCCAGGAGTCCCTGAACCTCCCAATCTTAATTGTAACAAAATTTAAAACTCAGTGGACTTAATTTTTTTAGTAATATATGGAAATATATTTAGACTTTATTTTTTCTAAGAAATAATATGTAGTTTCTTATATCAGTGTATTTCTATTGTAAGAGCAATTACATAATTTTGGCAAATTATATTGTCCCAATTAAAAAATACACTGGGCTATTTAAATCAAAATATTAAAATAATACAGCAAGGGATATCTTTGTTTAAAATAAAAAGGGTCAGAATGAAAGCACATGAATTCACTCTACATTTTTATAAAAATAGAAAAGATAGGTTAAAAAGGTAGATTTTCTTTTCATAAAAGTTTTTAAATTTAAATGATGACTTTTCTTCCTTTGATATACCTGTTATATTATTGAATCTAGTTTTCCTCTTTTGATTACCAAATCTAGATGATATTAAAAATAAATGTGTCTTATAGAAAAAAGTCTATATTAATAGTGATATATTCTGCAGAAAGATCCAACAGTCATTTTAAAGATGTTTTAATCTCAGTCACCCTCACCCATTTGAGGACATTTTAGTGCAAACATAATCATATTTCTTTGCATAGGTTTAGGACACTTTTATAAACATGCTTATATTTGATCTGTTTTCTCATGACTATTGATTTAGCATTCTAAAATCATTGAGTAGTTTCAAGTGCATCAAAACACTCTCAGTTTACTGCTTAGTGATTCAGCTTTTGAAATAGTGCAACAGAGACTTGATTCAGAAATTATTGCAGTAAATGGACACCAATTAATTCTTCAGTGTTATTAAGACCTAAGTGTATGAGAATAACAAAATAAAAATTCTTATGCTGTGAAAACATTTATATTAAACACTTTAAAAATCTGTACTTCTAATCATGCATGCATCTATGAATTTAAAACATATTATCACCAGTTTCTTGAGTTCATAATAGGATTTCAAAAATATTTCAATTCAGGGCACTTGGGTGGCTCTGTCAGTTAAGCATCTGCCTTTGGCCCTGGTCATGATCTCAGGGTTTGGGGGGTGGAGCCCCACATTGAACTCTCTGCTCAATGGGAAGTCTGTTTCTCCCTCTCTCCCACCCCCGCTCATGTTCTCTTTCTCTCAAATAAATAAATAAAATCTGAAAGAAATATTTCAATTCTGTTTTATAAACCCAGGAATAAACATGCTCAAGAACATTCAGAGATTAAGCTAATACATTTAACAGAAGAGAAGATATACAAGCTAGGTGACTGATCACATGAATATGTAGGTTAATATAGGAACTTAATTATTTTTTCCTGTGAATCTTAAAATGATTAATCCTACACTATTCCATCATAATATTGATGCAAAAACCTAAGCCGTGCCAAGTAGACCTATTGAATCATTGCCCTTCTTCTCTGTTGTCATAGCATGTGGGTTTAGGTAGTGCATTAAAAAATTCTGTTGTGGAGATAATTCAACTTTAGTAGACAGAACTCCTTGAAGACAACTTACAATTTTAATAATTAAATTAATTAAATAACTCATTCATTCATTCAGTGTTTATAAATTTTCTTCTCTAAGCATTGTGCTCGGTATTGAAGATCAAAGCTCGCTACCATACTACTTCTTTTCTTTAGGCACTCAGAGTCCATGAACAAAAATGTTGAGTAGTAACTCTGGGGAACTCTGACCCCAGCACAGTAACTTCCCTGCTCCGTAAAATGACCGCTTTATACAGCCTATGTTAGAGTCCAGAAATCACAGGGTGTCAGGTGGATAAGAAAGTTCTGACACTGTGGGTTAATCTGGCGTTGGGCACATTTGCTATCAGTGCATCTTTTCCTTAGAAAAAAGGGGGCATTTGAGGAAACTTAGACAAATTTAATCCCTTAAACAATGTCAGACAAGAATATTGATTTTAAAAATCAAGGTGAAGAAAAATAATAGATTAGTCTATTGAAGCCAGGAGTGAAATTAGTGGTGTGAATGCAACTCCTTTACAATTTCTGCAGATGGGTCACAAATGTGACTCTTTAGGTTCTTTGCAGCCAAAGCAAAGAGAGAAATATGATCAGTTACAATTTTATATTTTCCACTATAGCTTTTTCTGGCACTGAGCCCTGAAAGAAATTTCTCCCATGAGTCCTTGTATAAAGAGGTCACTATGTGATATATTATTTCAAACACTATATCCTGGGAAGTGTAACAGTGGTTTCCCTATGGCTACTTCTTATAGCTTCCTTCATTTAAATCAAGGGCACAATGCCAGAGCTCAATTCAGCAACATATTAAGTGAGAGACAAAAATTCAGCGATCTAAAAAGCAGATAGCTCTCTGGTGGTTTGGCTTGATTGAGAGAGAAAATTTGGAATATCTAGAAGGATAATTGCTTAGAAGGAATTCTTTGTAAATGTATTAATTCACTTTTTGATGAAAATTTGACTACAAAATGTTTGGTGTATATTTTGTTACATAAGTCTCTAGTAAGATATTCTTCATTGCTGATTAAAGATAGAATTATGTGATTTAGATAGCCAACTAAGTAGAAGGGAAAATAGACCACATCTGAAAAATAAGTTGTCTAAACCAGGATTTTTACTAGAAGAAAAAAATGCATGGAGGTGACTCAGGAAATATCTACAAAGTAACTGAACTTTCTCTGATAAAAAATTGAATGATGGATGACCTTCAACCTGAAAATACTACACCAAAGAATATGAATGTGATAGTTTTTATTTGATTATTTTTTTAAGTATTTAAAGCCAATCTCCCACAGTAGTCATAAAAAGAAAATCTGAAAACTTTATCCCAGAATTGTCTAATTTTATATTTATTAGGTTTATTCTGCACCTTTCAGACTTCTATTAGTAAAATATACTAATAAATCAATAAATAGCTGATATATTACATAGACTTGTAGTATTATTTCTACTTGATTAAAACTGATCTGATAAATCAACTCCCTGGATTGGGACTATCTTTATCTGGAACTATTTGGACTATATTTAACTCTTTATCAATGCACTGGAACTCACGTCATTCTCTTCAGTATCTCCTTCCTTCCTTCATTTTTTTTTTTAATTTGTCTTAGTTTTTTGTTTGTTTCTTTTTTAAAATAGGGAAGGGATTTTTTCTGTGTGTGTGTGTGTGTGTATGTGTGTGTGGTGTGTGTGTGTTTTCCTTCCTTCATTCTCTGAGGAAGACTCCAGAACCAATTTATTGTACCATATGCCTGAATATATGTCCACATGTGCTTTTCCACAAGTAACTGTGAATTATAGAAGATCAACATGGAACCATAGTTATTGTTACAGCATGAACCTTGAGCTTACTGAGCATGTCAGTAATTAAGTAGATATGTACCAAGAATCCTCAGCAATCAAAATATACATATCCTGAGACCTTGAAAACCACAAATACCACTATAACGTATGAAATTATCCATAAAATGCAATAAAGCTAATCCACAGTGATATGCTGTGATGTGGCGATAATGATTGTAAGCCTTTGGCTTGGTTCCCTTACTAGATGGTTGGTTTATCGCCCCACGACAGATTCTAAATAAGCCCAACTCAATTCCATGCTTCAGTGACATTACAGTTTTTTTGAAATTCTACATTTGTACTTACTTGAAAATCACTGAAATCAACAAGTAAATCTATAGCTGAACTGCCTAAAGTGAGTTTTACTGAAAGTAGGGCAGAATTAAAAATTTCATCAATGATATTAGTTTCCCAAAAGAGTATTATGTATTAAAATTTTCTGAGGCAAAGCAGTGTAATGAGAAGGACAGACAGTTAATTTGGAAATCAAAACTTTGTTAAACTTTGTTAAACTAAGGTCCACTTGCTAGCTATGGACTCATAGATTTCTTAACAATTCTAGGTATTATTTTTCTTATTCATGAAATGAGACAGTCATTGCTCTCAGTGTCATAGATTATTGTGATAATCAACAGAGATAACGCTTAAGTGCCTATAAAAGTATATTGTTCCACAGAGAGTTATAACAGTATTTTTCCCTATAAGCCAGATCTTGTTTTTAAAGCCAAGAACCTAAGCTTGCAACTTATTTTTCCCCCTCAAATATAGTGGTAGTTGAACATTACTATTTAAGTGGCTACTGTTATGTTATGTTTAAGTTGTATAATTTAATTACAGGTCTATCAATAGACTATGTGGAAAACAAGCTTTATTGGATCAGTTCGGGAAATGGAACCATAAATAGATGCAACCTGGATGGTGGTAATTTAGAAGTAATAGAGTCAATGAAAGAAGAATTAACAAAAGCTACAGCCCTAACCATCATGGGTAAGTGTAATGGTTCTATAGCTAGGATGCTGTGTATTGATTGGGGGTTGATTAATTATGACCTGTTAAAGCTTAGAAAAGTTACTGTTCCATTAACACCAGAAACACATTCAAATTATACATCTCTATGTGAGTTTTTCTTTTTTCTTTTTTAACCTTAGCAAACAGACTTGTAAGATTATCCAGATCAGGGACTTCGTGCTGTTTACAATACAAACTTTACCATTATTGATTCTTGGCTGTGACTTGTATTATTTTACGATTATTTTCTTGTTCTACTGCAAGATAAGGGCCTTGTGTCTTTGTCACAATAAGGGCAAATTATGGCTTATCTCTGCTTATAAAGGATAGCTTGATTCACACAGATACTTCAAAAAACAAGGCCACAGGGCCCATTGACCAAAGAATAAAATTATTCTCCCACAAATAATTCTTTCTTATTTTTAAGGATGATTAGTCTTACTGTTTTGAGCCTTATTTCCTTTCTTTTTGGTTCAGTCTTTGGGGAAAAAAAAAGATGTTAGATGAATAAGACGATTAGGAAGCTAACAGGGAAGTATAGCTTTTCATAGAATAGTCAACTTCTACTGTATTAATATTAGAAGTTGATTTTTGAAATATGAATTTTAATACAAAGTAGTTTGAGCTTTAGAAAAGATATAAGAATACCATAAAGAAGTGGTTTTTGGTGAGGATGGTTGTGCCTTTACTTAATGAATGGCTGGCTATAAACTGACATTCATAGTAGGTCAGCAGTGTGGGGATTAGATCTTCCACATAGAATCTCAGTAGTATGGTTATAGAAAGTCAGAAAACTGATTTCATAGTTCCAACTTTAAATATGAGGTATTTTGGATAGCATATGTGTGTGTGTGTGTGTGTGTGTGTCTATGTACTATATACATAATTACATATATATATATATATACACTATATATATAACTATATGTACTGTTTATGAAAAGTCAATGTGAATATATTTCTAAATGTTTATATAGGTAATAAATTAAGTCTTTTATTTTTTTTATTTTTTTTAAAGATTTTATTTATTTATTTGACAGAGATCACAAGTAGGCGGAGAGGCAGGCAGAGAGAGAGGAGGAAGCAGGTTCCCCACTGAGCAGAGAGCCCGATGCGGGACTTGATCCCAGGACCCTGGGATCATGACCTGAGCTGAAGGCAGAGGCTTTATTTAACCCACTGAGCCACCCAGGCGCCCCAATTAAGTCTTTTAAATCAATATTCTACAATCTTTCTTTCTTATCATTTCCCAAATTGAATGTTAATTTTATTTTTGGTTTGGTTTTAACTAATGACTGTTGATTAATATACAAAGTTTAAAAGTAAATAGTTGTTAACTGAGAAAGATATGAAAATTTATTCTCTACTAAAAATGTGCTTTAATCACCTTTTATTTCAATTAGATTTCAAATATCTGAATAAAAGTGAATCCAGTTTAGATATTACAAATTATTATTTGAAACAGGATGAGTCTGGGATATAAGAAAAAATTAAAATTCAGTTCGGTTCAACATGTATTTAGAATCTTCTAAGTACAGACAGTGTACTTATTTCTGAAGTACAAATATGAACATGAACAATGTTCTCAAACAGAACATACATTTCTGTGAGAGAGAGAGAAAAAAAGATTGTTTCAGCCCATCATCAATCACAAAGAATATTTCAGTTTCAATAGCTGAGAAATACAGTTAGTAAATATATTTGCCTTAATAAAGTTATAAGAATCACATGGAAATGCATGGGAATACACTAGTGAAAATGTAATTTTTTACAAACATCAAAGGTAAAGTCTGGCGTCATTTAATTTGCTCTTTAAAGCACTCTGGAAATTTACCGCTTTGGGCATTTGCGGGTATCTGACATAGTGCGGCATCAGACATTAAGTAGCTTTGTTTTGCTATAGTTTTATTCCTAAATGGCTGTCTTTCTACTATCATTTTCACCATTCTTTTTCTAGTTATTTCTTAGAATTAGTGTTTTTTTTTTTTTTAGTTTTTCTCCAGAGAAGGAATTTAAACTTGTAAAAAAATATCTTATTTTTAATAACATCCCAGGTTTCTTTCTAGACTTTGGACAATTCCTATATTGTTTGAAGAATGTTATATTTTCAGAAATTACACACACACACACACACGCATGCACACAAGGATTGTATCTGACAAGTAGGTTATTTTAAAGCATACATTTATTTATAATATTCTTATAAGGTAATAAGTAAAATAAGATTATTTTATATTACTCAGCTTTGGGAAATTAACAAGAAAATTTTGTTTTATGTATACTTATATATATTTTAAATCATCTGAGTAAAAATAGCAGAGTTTAAATTCTGCAACAATCCCCAAATCACCACCCGCATTATGTTTTCAAAACTTGAATTCAAATATACCTTATGAAATCAACCTAAACTAGCAAATAATACAGCCAAGGAACACAATAAATTAGAGGGGAAAATGTTAAAAGATTTTATAACATTTCAAAAACGTCTTTGACTTTTTAGTGGATATATATGTAAATATGTATACTATAAAAATCATTTCTTCATACAATAATGGAAAGCTTTCTAAAGGTTTATTTCTGCTAACGTGATTGCTACCCACCCTGATGTTAGTAGAAATTAATACTAAACTTACAGAACTCAGTGCTGGAAACAAAGTCTCAGAAATAGAGCAGTAGTCCCTTGCAGCAAAATAAAATAAAATCAGTTAGTTTTCTTCCCTGGTAAAATCGAAGAGTGAGAGTTTGGGGGAGATCCTAATGCCTATATTGTGGCAGCACTGTGAAGCTGATAGGACATCAGCACCACATAGGCAACCCAACTTTGCATACACTGAAATTATTTTAACAAGTAAATGGCCATATATGTATACCTCTCCCTGTCACCATAATTTGATCAAACCCGAGAGATAAAAATAAGTATAATAAAACCTATTAATGTCTCTGTTATCAACAATTCATTCAGTGGATATATCAAAATATATTTTGAGTTTGGAGGTTTGAAGCTTCAAGGACAGTACCTTAGAGATGCTGCGGAACAACCTTGTTTTACAAAGTTCTCTACATTGGCTCTGAACTTGCTCTGCTGCTCAGATCCCCCCTTCTTTGAGAACCTCTCTCCTCTTTTTCTTTGGGGATGGAATAAAGGACAATGACCTGTTTCCTGCTGAGGCTAAGTATTATAGTCATATAAAAAGGGCAATATGAAAGTAAAACAGGAGAACTTTACAACTTCCTATCCAGGGGATTACAGATGATTATAGCTACAAATGTTTAAGGAGCTACTTGCCTACAGTAATACTGGAATTACACATCTAGAAAGCAAGGAAATAATTGGGCTATGACGTTACCAGTTACATACCAGTATATACCACCTCCTCAGACATACTACCCAGGCAATTATAACTAACTGAAAGTTTGTGTTTTGCTAAAATTTAGAAGTAGTTTTTCAAAAATTGAATGAAAATTCTATTTAGACAGTTCTTACCATTTTTTTCAAACCTCAAAGATGATAAATTATAACTATTTAGAGTTACCAGTTTTATTTAGAATAATATATACAAAAGAAACTGAAAGGACTTTGAAATATTAAGATCAGGTAAAGTAGAAGGTTAATAAAGCAATGAATTGATGATTTAGCCAAGTCTAAGACCCCAAGATTAAGATTTCTAAATCCAAACTTTCACACTTTGATAATTCTTGCAAGAATTAGTGCTAAACTTCTGTCCCCTTGAGTGTGGCCTAGACTTAGTGACTCGTTTCTCATGAATAAAATAAGACAAATGGGATGGTGTGTGACTTTGGAGATAAGGTTATAAAAGGCATGAGCCTTCCTCCTTGTCTCTCTTTCTTGGATGGCTGACTCAGGGCAAAGCCAGCTCATATGTCACATCCACACAGCAAGGAACTGGGACCTTTGGCCAGTAGCCATATGAGTCAGTCATCTTGAAAGTAGAACCTCCATCTCAGTTAAGATTTCAGATGACTATAGCCCAAGCCAATGCATTATAGCAACCTTAAGAGAGAGCCCAAACCAAAACCACCAATATACCTGCTCCCAAACACCTGACCCACAGAAACTGTGAGACACAACAACTGTTTATTGTTTTAAGATACTGAGTTTCAAGGCTATTTGTTAAGACAGCAAAAAGATAAATTTATATGTCATTCCATCCACAGAACTCATTCCTTTATATACAATTACAAAATCAAATCCTTATTTAATAGAATCAGAAAAATTGTGATGAGTAAAGTGTGGCAGGTATAATAAAACCCAGTCATTCCAGTATGATGGTTGGTCGAAACTAAGTCTAAGCTTCAATATCCAGACTCATATGGGAATGGCAGGAAGTATGATAAAACCAGAGAAAGCTAATGCCTCATCTCTCAGGTCTACTTATTTTTACCATAAAGAACATTAAACAGTTGTGCCAGAGCTTTCATTTTGCAAGAGAGGCAAGAAATCCTGTTAAAACAAAACAAAACAAACACCAAAAAACCTCACAAGTTTTAAATGTTAGCAAGTAGTCATACTAAAAAAAAAAAAAAAAATGCAGGCTAATGTACTCTATAGGCTTTCCCTGAAAATTAGCATGATATAAACCAAGCAAACTAACAAAAACCACCATCACAAACCTATGGATGGGCATACTTGATTCAGCCCAAAGAACAGCAGTAAGTTCTCACCTCTGGTTTGATCATCATCATTTATACTGGTGACTTTGAATTATTGTGAGAAGATGGGATTAAGGCCGCTAATGCCTAGCTATACCAGTAGAGAAGACTAGGTAAAAATCAATCAGTCAGTCAATCAATCAATCAATCAATCACCTGGTAAAGCTGGCATAATTTACAGAAGGGAAGTGGTCTCTCTCCTACAGGATAGGATGTAATGCTTTTCCACCAGGATTTTGTGGTCCTGTTTGACCTGACTTTGTATTTTGCCTGAGGTATATAGAGATGAAGAAAGTATGAATATGGGG